TCTGCTCTGCCTTGAGGAGATTCTGGACCTCCCTGTCTGAGGTTGTGGCTGCTGTGCCTGGAAACAGCACTGACTCATGTCAATGGTAGCGAACTCTTTGAATTAGTAGGTTGAAATATGCCTTATGAAATACTATGTATGTTTAGTTGGAGGGATTTTTAAAAGACCCTATCTTAAACCAGCCTTTGGTATGGACACAGACAAAATGAAGCAGGATCTGTGTAGGAAAGTTGAATTAAATAACGTCCAGTTCACGTTTCATGGCCATTCCTACTGGTCCTGCAAGTGCTCTGTTTGGAAAATAGTCTCTGTCAGCTGCAGGTGTTTGCTGCACAGATTGTTCTTTTCCCTTTACGTGCACATCTCCCTCTTCTCCCACCTGCTGCCCAGCGTGGCTTTTCCTCATCTTGGTGCCCAGGAAGTGCCAGTGTCTGCTTGAATGAGCTGTGCTATAAATCAAAGTGTCATCACTTAGCTGGCAGAAGTGATTTAATTAAAGCGTCATACCGTCCCCGGAGCCTCTCCCCACCTGACTGCTAATCAACCTTCATCAGCAGGAGGAAAACGTGACCCTTCTTAGAACTGAGCCGGAGAGACGGAAGGAGAGACTGCTAATTGCAGTTGCAGAGATCAGCCTCATCACTTGTCTCTGCTTGTAAGCAGCTTCTTCAAATACTGCTGTCCTGGTCTCTTGCAAGCAGTGCTTCACTCCATTCATAGAAGAATTATTTAGCATCATATCAGCCTCTGCTTTCCCTCAAAAATCTGTTTGCCTGATGAGACATTTAACAGCATCCTATTGTGCATTTAAGCATTGGAGCAACTTTTTATGTTCTGAGTGCTGCTGTAGCTGGAATGAGCAGTTCATACGTAAGTATTTTCTGTGCACTGTGAATGCACTCCTAGTTAGGTGGTGCTGTACAGTTAACACTGCAGATCACTAAGCCAAAAATGGTCATGCCAGCATGGAATTACAGAGCAGACACTATTAGACATCGCTGTCCTGTGTCAGCTGCTGAATAATTAGTTGATGATTTTTATTTCTTGTGTGATAGTGATGATTTCTGTGTGAGCCAGGGTCCTGTTTGAGTTTGGTGCCCCCATCACATAGGGCTGCAGCTGTGGTGATGGGAATCTCAGCCTCCATCCACAGGGTCACGTGAGCAGAAGGGAATTGGAGGAGTGTTGTACGTGAGATGATTGCAATATGATCATTTCTGCTTGATTTGTTTTATTTTTATTTATTTACTTTACCATTTCTACAGGCATCGCACGGTTCCGCTCTGCTTTCGGAGCCTACAGCAGTGTCTCATTGTGGATTTTGGGTGAGCCAGTGAGCCCAGCAAGCTGCTTTGTGCTGCTCCTCAACCTGCAGTATGGATGTCAGCTACAGCAGCACTCCTTCAGTTCCATCCCTGCACAAGGCTCAGCCTCGGGGCTGGGAGCTCTGCAATCTGACCGCAGCCATTGCCATAATGGTTAAGCAGCTGTTTCCTTTGCAAGTCTATAATTTTGAGGGTTTATTACACGGACATAAAAGTCCTCTCCAGGCAGAGATCTGGCAGACACAACCCAGCCAGGGAGCTGTTGAATCATTTGTTAGTTAGTTTGGTTTTGCATCTGCTGGGCATTTTTTTTTTTTATATTTTGTGTAGCAGGCAGCAAAAGACACAACTGCAGTCATTCCCAATTGTCTGCCATTAAGGTCTTCATTGGTATTTGTTTTATGACCAGTTATTTATGATTTATTTAAAGAAACAAACGTAGATTACAATATTAAGAGCATTTCCCCCGTAAGCACACGCAGCACTCAAACAGCAGCTTCTTCCAACACTTCACTGATCTTGTTTAATGCACGTGCTTTATTTTGCTTAATTCCCACAAACTGCTGCTCTATGATTGCTCATTGCTGGCTCTGTTGTTTTCTGTTGGGGTACTCTGCTGATTCAGTAGACAGAGACAGTGCTCACTGCATAGATTTGCTGCTATTCCTGCTCTTTCCCCAGCTTTCTTGACACAAATTCTGGAAGCAAGCTGCGTTCATTCTGTCTCTTTTTGGGGATTTGAACTGAGAACTTTTAAGGCCATGGAATCACTGCAGGGTTATCCCAATACAAACAGCAGCAGTTTGTGCCTATTGAGGGGAATCTGTTTATTTATTTAGCTATTTATTAAGGAGATGCTGTTCTATATGGCATGAGTAAATTTGATCTCTGAAAGGAAACGTGTCCTCAGGCTTTCTAAAGTTCTACACCTTCCCTTATTTCTAGCGTTTAAGCCACACCTGAACTTATTTAAAAGCAAGATGCACCAATACCCATAGCAACAGATGCCAAATGAAAGTCTCTCTCTTTGTATGATTTAGACTGGGGCACAGGGATTGAGCCTTGTCATAAGGATTGGGCTGCAGGTGAGCAAATGGAGCCCTTCCTTAGCAGGCAGTTGGGTATGAGTGACTGTCATTGCTTGCAGAATCTGAGCTTTTAAGTGCTACACCTGTGCGTTGTGGTTTCTGTCCTCCTAAATAACACTGGCAGTAAAAATGGAGTTGTCACCTGTCCAGTTCCCACCCTGTATTGAAAAATGTCTTAAGGACTTCTTTCATGGAGGGGAAAGCAGCTGTGGCTATGTTTTCATCTCACCTCTTTGGTGAGCCTGAAATGTGGCATAGGGAATTGCTGCACAGGTGTTACATGCTGAGAAAAGGAGAAGTTACTCGTTCTTCATCAGTGACCTGGATGAAGGGATGGAGCCAATTTGCTGATGGTGCAAAGCTGGGAGGAGCAGCTGACACACCAGAAGGCCATGCTGCCTTCAGCCAGACCTGGACAGGCTGAGAGTTGGGTGGAGAAGAACCTGATGAGGTTCAAGGAAAGCGCAGAGTCCTACACTTGTACATCTGTACAGGTTAGGGGCTGAGCTGCTGGAAAGGAGCTCTGCAGAGGAGGACCTGAGCATCCTGGTGGACAGCAGGGTGACCACGAGGCAGCAGTGTACCCTGGGAGCCAAGAAGGACAATGGTGTCAGTGAATGCATTGCCAGCAGGTCAAGGGAGGTTTTCCTCAGCTCTGCCCTGGGGAGGCCACATCTGCAGCATGGTGTCCAGTTTTGGGCTCCTCAGTTCAAAAAAAGGCAGGGATCTCCTAGAAAGAGCCCAGTGGAGGGCCATAAAGATGACAAGAGGCATGGAGTATCTCCCTGATGAGGGGAGAGCTCTCAGCCATGGGGCTGTTCAGCCTGGAGAAGAGAAGGCTGAGAGGGCATCTGATCAATGCCTGTTAATATCTCAGGGGTGATGCCAAGAGAACGGGGCCAGGGCTCTTTTTGGTGATGCCCAGTGACAGGACAAGGGGCAACGGGCACAAACTGGAACACAGAAAGTTCATCTGAATATGAGAAAGACTTCTAAACTTTGAGAGCGACACAGCTCTGGAACAAGCATCCCAGAGGTGGCATAATCTCTTCCTCTGGAGACATTCAAGACCCACGTGGATGTCTTCCTGCTCAACCTGCAGCAGGGATCTGCTTTAGCAGTGGGGTTGGACTAGACAGTCTCCAGAGATCTCTTCCCAAGGCTATGATTCCATGATTCTCATCTCACCGTTGAGGTTGGAGCAATATAATCAGATGTTTGTGACCAGAAGATGCTGCATGGAGGAGTACACAGAGCTGTGGATGTGCACCTTCTGCGTGCCACCAGGACCCTTCAAGCTGCATCCAAGGCTCCTTGTGATCTCATTGTGAAAGCTGGCTGCTGCACAGGCAGGAAGGCTTGTGCTTTAGAACAGGCATCCCACAGTTCTGTTATTGTTATCACAACAACCACTGGGTCAAACCAGGAGTTCATAAGTACTTACTGATAGGATTCTCCTACGTGAAGATGTCACATCAGCAACTTTCTATGTATATATTATTATTATTATTATTTTTTTTTTTTACAATAAAATGGCTTTTTGACAAAATGAAAAAACAAATCAGTTTTGTTTTAAGACAGATTATTTAGCACCTTTCCTTAAATTTTGTATGTTATACAGAACTTAAGCTTGCTCCACAAAGCAAACAGAAGAATAAGTCATCTTCTCTGCAACAAATTTTCAGATGGATGGATAACATACCTGGGAGAGGATTGGGCTGAGAAGAAATCTGCCCTTTCTTTGGGGAGTGGAGAAGAGGATTGTCATTCCAAAGGGATCAGAAAAGCATGCTTCTTCTATTCCACCACCCCCCCATGACTGCCTCTTATGCTCATTTCTGTGTGTGCATTAAGTGGCTCTTGCTGAGTTCTGCATTGAGATGTGTCATTGTGATAAATCACTTTTAGTGGAGATTGTATTTTTCCTCCAAATGAAGCTGCCAGCAAGTAGCATTTTAGCAGCAGCAAGTGGCTGCAACATTCTCTCTCTCTTCACCTCCCCACCCCACCATTATTCAATAGATCTGAGTACCTTACTTGCACAGGACTGTGTTTTCTAATGGGGAGGGAAAATAACAGGGGTGACAACAACTGTCAGCACTGGTCAAAGATCTTTACAGATGTAAATAAATCTGTTTTTTTCCCCTGCCTTACTTACATTTGAGGAGTCCTAGGTTCCTTATTACCCAGTGGAACTCTGAGCCCCTATGAAACCAGGAGCCACACAACAGCACAGGGTTGCCTGAGATCCAATGGGGAAAAACCATCTGCCATTCGCTCTGTATGTTTCCTAACTTCTTACACAGAGTTTTGGTCCTTTGTCATCACTCCAGGACCGGGGAGCTGTTGAATAATCTCATCTGTTTGGTGGTGAGGGGACCTTTGTCCTATTTCCCCTCTAAATCTGTTCCTGACTGCTTACCCTCTGTCTGTTACACTAATATTGCTGCTGGTCTGAGCCCCTAAAAAATCCCACTGTCATTAGAGGAAGTACTGTATCTATTGCAGTGGGATAGAAAGACAAAAACACTGCTACAATAAAAAACCCAATTCTTTACCTTTCATATTTCAAAATGTTTGCAACACACAAAGATCAACCACAATTTATTATTATTTTTAAGAGTCTTATCAGGGACATTGAAAGCATTACTAAGTTTGTCTGGATTTTGGCAAATCGTTAGCTGATTCTGACACTTTTGAGGAAACCAATTTGATCAGCCTCAGAAATGCCAGCATTTAACAGCCCAAGGAACGTGTAATATGTTTCACACTGACAGCTTTGGTGCACTTGGCAGTGGCTCTGTAGGCTAAGGTTTTATTCCCCAGGAAACAGCTGGATGAATCCCAGCTAGAACCCATAATGTAATAAAAGAAATGGGAGTGAGTTATTCACAGCTTTATAAAGAAAAATAATCCTTCCAGAGATGGCTGGTTCCTGAGGGGTAAGGTAAAGTCACACTCAGAAATGAGTGCTGTCATGCTCAGGCTCCATGAGCCCTACGGAGTGGGATAAGAGTTCACCAGACTCCCCAGCTGTTCCTCCCTCTCAGGACTTGTCTGCTTGTTGTCCTGCTTTGCTTTCTTTCTTCTAACGTTTCTGAACTCACTCCCATTTTTGTTTTCCCTCCTGGATAAATTCCACGTTTGCCCTTGAAATCCAGATACAGAAAACCACTGTGGGTGACAAATCTGTAATTTCACATCCCTACATGAAAGCCAGCTTCAGGTTTCAGTTAGGACTTCATTCTGTTCTTCCTTCCTTTCTAACTTCACATGGCTGGTGGGCACTCGAAAGCCAACATGATTTATCATTTTCTTCTCTCTTTGAAGAGGTCTGAAAAAGCATAAATATTACAATATGTCCTTTTGAAAATTCTTTCCTGCAGCTGACCAGTACATGCACCAGGCACTCGCTTCTGCTTTTCTGGCTGAAATTCTCACCTTTCAAAAGTGAACCCCTTTAGGAAAGGAGGACAAATCAGCTGTATTTCTAAAGTACAGCCCTGATGTTAATGACCAAACCTCTGTAATTATCACATCCCTAATATTATCACTATGAATGCTGATTGTCTCCTCCAGAAATACTTTTAGATATGGCATTATTTTGTCTTGGATGACTGCTAAGAATCATAACAATGAGAAAAGGTTGTAACGATGAAAAAGACAAAACATGGAGGAACGGTGATCCAGGAGGTGTCATGAGAAAGGGACGAGCAGGAAGGAAAGGTGTAACACAGAAAAAAAGCAAAGTGCTCACCTATCTTTGAAGATCCAGGCTTACAGGAAAAATCCACCAAAGAGAGATCACCAGAAAGAGATCCTTCCCCAGGGGCAGCCAGCCCTTCAATGAGGCCTAAGAGAGGTGCAGCCAGGCTCCATCCCTTCCTATCACACAGCTGATTGCCTTCACCTGTGCTCCCAGGGCTGACCGGCTCCTTTCCCCAGCTGCTCCATCAGTGCTGCAGGCCATGATTCAACAGTCCCCATGCACCTGTACAGTCTCACAGTGATGAAGAGTGTGGCTTGGTTGTAAAGGAGACTCCTGTTCCTCTGTGGTTACTTGATAAACACTTTTAATTATCAGTATTGTCATTTGCATAATGGAGTTGTACAGCTGGCCCCATGCAGTGAATGGCATTACCACGTGGTCTGGCAGTACTCGTGCATGGGAAAAACAAGAGGAAGATTGTTTGCTCTGAGCAAGGGAAGAGCTTTGCACACTGCAGATGTGGGGATGCCTGCACAGGAGGAAGGGTTAACTGTGCTGGGTGATGGAGCACTCTGCTGCCCTTTATCGAGGGCCACTTGCTGTTGGTTGCAGGAAGCTAGTTTAGGGCAAGTTGTAATTTTTTTCTTTTTTTTTTTCCCCACTCTATTTTCTTTTTGAAGTCGTGGTTCAAAGCTGTGAGCATTGGGAATGGCTTTTTGACAAGGATCCAAGCATCTTAATGTAACGGTCAGCTGCACTTTGATATCCTGCGGTTTTGGCTCGGGCTGCTGCTCGCCTGTAGCAGAGACAAGCAGACTTCACGTTGCATATTCTCATGTACCAGCATAAGCTGAAATCAGAGAGGGCTGTGAGAAAAGATGGATGGCTGCTTTACCTTGAAGGCTATAAACACAGCTGTGTCGATCAGCAGATGGCAGGCTACTGCTAGCAATGGGCCGCCAACAATATGAGCCGCTCCTCCTGCGTGCTGTTCCAGATGGGAGGCCTCTGAGGGGACCATGCAGTGTGCTTGCCTTGCTGTGCTCCCTTTTTGCTGTGTTCCCCTTCTGGGGACTTGCTTTTCCCTAGAGTTGTGCAATTCAAGACTGTCACAGACCGATTTTATTGCGTGTGCTCTTTTATGGCTCTTTGACCTTCCAACAGGTATCGCCCCCTTCTTTATCACCAATCTTAAGTGTAGAATGAGATGCATTAAATGCTGTAATTCCTAATGCAAGATTGAGTCACAAGTGGAGCTTTTGGACTGCGGAGCCACAGTGAGGAGACGACTTTCAGAGAGAAGGAATGCACCCAAATGAATCTGCTCCATCTGGGGCAGCTGGCGGTTAGCTGCCAGCAAACAGGAACGCATCTCTCAGAGTGGCATGGTTGTTTTTTTTTTTTTGATAAGTTCTAACATTGTCCCCTTGCTGAGGTGGTTAACTGTGCATCAGCAAAACCTCTACCTTAGATACTGATCTGCAGCACCGGCTGTTTAGGATGATGGAATGTAAGAGAATTAAATTGAGTTTTTGGCTAGAGGAGTTGAGCATTTACTTGTGTCTTCCTGGGACCAGGTTTCCGAGTGGGAATTTCTTTCCTGGACATGAGAAGAAAGAGAAGTGCTGTACTGTTTGCATTTGGCCAACCTCTGCCGTGGGTTGGGCTGCTCCATGGAATAGCTTGGTGATGTCCTGGTTGTGTGCTGGCCACTTCGTGAACTGCCTGACAGCCTCCATGTGCTGGCTGAGGGAGCACAGGAATGGATGGGGAACTTTGAGGAAGGATTTGGGAAGTCAGCCACCTCCACAGAGGTGACTTACATTACTCTCTGCTTCCCAAGTGTACAGCGAATGAAATAGGCAGCAGGGGACAAAAATTCTCATCAATCATCTTATGTTTGTATATGCTAGTCAGAACATAAAAATCCACCTGGGGTGAAAGGAGGAGAACTCTCAAGGATTTTCTTTGTGTTATCACACAAGTGATTGCTTCCAGTCAAAAGCCAAGGCCCCATGAAATGACTTTGTCAACAGGCTGTGTATTGGCATGAAAACAAGAGCTGGCTGTCTCTTCTACAGCCTGCCAGGTCTTTGCTTCTGGCCTCCCAGCAGATGTCCACTTGAGGGCCTGGAGAAGTTTCAGAGTGAATGCTGAGCAGACATCAGGAGTCCTTAGGAGCTTTGCTGTCACATGAGTAATTGCAAACACCTTGTTTCTAAGCACAGCTGGTGAGGATGCTCTGATGCAATGCTCTGATGTAAGGATGCTACAATTGACCATCAATGTACATAAGTTCCCACAGAAATTTTCGTGCTAATCCTCACTTGTGAGATAAAAAAAACCCACAATATTTCAGGGCTTTCCTCTTCTTGGAGGCTTTTCAAGTTCAGTGAACAGTATTTTCTTGCAAAGACATTTTCAGATGACTTCTTGAAGGCAGAATCTCAACAGACACTGAAGAGGACTCAATACAGATTTGCACCTTGTCTGGAGTCATCACTGTTTTGGCACAAACATCTGTATTACAGCATTTGGAAAAGGAGTTTAAAGGCATGATTTCTGCACAAAATGCAGTATTAAGGGAATTAGTTATTGAGTTTGCTGTTGAGATTAATGTGTTAAGTTTATTAATGACCTGGAAAAATTGGACCATAAGCTTTCAAGATTTGTGGATAAAAGCTATGGAGCTTGTAATGTCATGCAAAGATAAAAGAGTCATTGGGACAGCAATAGTAGATGAAATTTCATTTGGCTACATGTCCACTGCTACGTGCAGGAAAAAGTGATCTAAGCATTTTATATGTAATATGCTGATGGATTTCAGCAGAAGAAAATACTGAGCAGATATTTGGTTCAAAAAGATGCAGGGGTTGTAGAAAAACACTGCATTAAACAAACTTGCGGGATGTTCTGTAGGCAGTTTGTTGAAATCCTCTAGTGTATACAGATATTTCATTTCATTTTATACAATAACTTCTGTTCATTATATTTTTCTGTAGCATTTTCCTTAGGTTCCTTTGTCATGGATGATGAAAGTATTTGTTTTAGAAAGGATGATTTGTGTACCAGCATCACAAACCACGAAGGCTTCCTAGCTAGTGATCTGCTTGTGAATAAGTGTTAAGCAAAGCCCTTCAGGCTCTGTTTCTTCCTAATTTCCATTGGTTTGTGTCACCCTGGCTGAAAGCAGTTTGGGTGCTTTAGAAATAACAGGAGACCCAGGGTAACAGGACCTGAGCCGAACTTATATCAGCATGGAAAGGGTTCAGATCTATGCCATGAGTGTCCAACCTGCTGGCTTGCCTAGGCTGCAAACTGTCTAGGGCTGCACCAGTGAACACTGCTTTGAAACTAGATGATCTTGGAGGTCTTTTCCAGTCTTGGTGATTCTATAATGCCTCCTAATTATTTCCATGGAAACTATCAAAGATAAAAAGAGCACAGTAACACTATTTAATAGAGCAAATTCTCAGCTACAAAACACTGCTTTTCAACATAGAGACCACCACTAGCTCTGCATTTTCACCAGCAATGAACATGAGCTGTACCATGGGAGGAGATCCACGTGGGCCTTGGGCTGGACATGCCTGATCCTGAGAAGCAAACCCTGAAATATTTCCAGTCTAATGGAAATTCCACACGTCAGCAGAGAAGCAATGCAGGCTGTTGTGATAACTCGGAAAGCAATCTGCAGTGATTACCTTAGGTCACAAAAATGAACCCTTGGGAAGTGATTGGTTTGTACCTAAAGATACCGTTGCATCTACACTAGAAATCAGATAGCAGGGAAAAAATAAAGGATGCTTTAATATTGGCTCTCCTTGCAAAGTTAATATGAAATAGAAGTGAAATCAGATGATAAAGGAGAAGTCTGAAAGCAGAGCCCATGTTTTTATATGTAAATACGCCTTGCAATAATCACAGCAGTGGTAATCCTCTAAATTCAGGCTCACTGTTTGTTGTAAGCCCAAACCTTAGCTCTTACAGACATGATTCTTCAAACAGTGAGACAGAGAAATACCTGTGAGAAGTAACATGTGGGACACTGGTTAAAGCTGCTGCAGTTGCCCAAGCACACCACAGAGTGCTGCTTTAAAGCACTGGGTTAGCTAATGGTGTATGGCATGTAACAGCAAGGGTGAGGCAGTCCTGGGACAAAGATTGCTTTGAAGCATGTAGCTGCTCTGAACAAAACCTGAGCCTGTTTGCCGTGCCTGCAGCCTGTCAACCAGTCCTTTGCACCACTCAGACATACAGTCAAAATAGGATTAAGTTTAATTTCTGCAAACAAGCCAATTTTGGAAATGTAACAGAGGGACTTGGCTCGAAGTTTTATAACTGTTCCTCACCTAAGAGAAAATGAGCTGCTTACAGGCAGCCAGATCTGGTTTGGGGAGCTGGAGAAACCCATAGCTACAGGCTTACTGATTTTGGGGGAGGTCCCAAACGAACCCATAGCTGTAGGGTTTCCTGCTCAAGCCGCGGCTGCTGGGGATCGTCCAAGAGCTTCTACCAGCTGGCAGCCTGACACTGCCGCAGCTCTGCGTGCAGCAGCCAGCTGATGCAGCCAGAAGTTTGGGCTCTCACCAGCACCAGAAGTAGCACAGAGCAGATAGAGATCTGCTCCCATTATCAATTAGCACTTGGGACACTCAGATCGTTAGTCCCTGCACACAGCTGGAACTTCTCCTGGATCAGAAGCCTTCCTCCAGCAAGCCCTATCCAGCCACAGGGGAAGAGGTCGTACTGCCATGTTTTGCTAATGAACCCAAGGCTGAGCTTGCTGAGCAGCCTTCCCTCTCCTGCTCCCCCAACAGGCAAGCACGCTGTTTCCTCGTACAGAATCTCACGGCAGTTAATCCAGCATCCTGCCTTGCTCTATGCTGTTTGATTTCAAGTGCCCCTAGCTTTACTGAAGGTGTCTATACTATCTTAAGTGTCTGCATAGTATGAAGGCTAAGTTCCAAAAGCAGTTTTGCTGTGGCTGCTGCAAATGCTTGGATGTGCTCCAAGTCCTACTCTGGCATTTAGAAGGGATTTTCCAGGGTGTTACAGTTCACCCAGCACTATGACTGTGCCAATCCAAGAGCTTCGCTGCCTTCAAAGATACACTACTGCATGTAGTAACAGTGTGTT